AGATCCCGGGTCTGGTCAAGTGGAATTTGTGGTGGACAAAGTGGCGCTGGGGCAGGTTTTCTCCGAGTACTTCGGTTTCTCCTGCCAATCTTCATTCCACCAATTGCTCCACAATCACCATCACCTGTCATATCGGGCTGGTACAATAGGCCAGAAATAGCCGCAGTACAAGGGACTTTTTTTTTATTGCTAGTAGGTTGGGACTAAGTCCGTTGTACTGAGGCCACATCTGGCCTATTGTACCAGCCCCAGATGATAGGTGAGGGNGTTTTAAGTGCCGAATTGCAGACTATTATGCACTATATACTATTATACACTTTTCACTGTTATATACATGAAGAGTTTATTTACATATTACACGGGTCTATTCTAATGAGGCAACACCGGCAGTGTCCGCTTAGGTATCATCTCCACATGCCTGTCCTTCCTCGTCACCACCAGATGAATCGGAGCTGTCATCAGAACTGTCATCACTATCACCGCCTACATGGAAGACGAACTCCCGTCCTGCGTCCAAAAGGCCTTCCCTTGCCATTAATTGTTGCTCAGTGTTCCTTACATGTTGGCACCTACGTTGCCATTCTGCAGTTATGGAAGCCAATTTTTGGTCTGCCAATTTAATGACATCATCCATCTTAAATGTGGTATTATCTTGAGCAACCCAATTTTTTACGGTGGCCCATATTAACTAATTGTGTTGAGTTCTGGTTGATAAGCAGGTAGTCGTAAAATATTGTGATTGTGTTCTGCACAGATTCCATCTATTTTATAGGAAAGGTATTTCGGTTTGAGTGGTAGGATCATATTATATACAGAGTGCGGCAGCATAATTTGCTGATTTGAATTTGGCGCCAGGAAGCGAGGTTTGGCCGTTAGAGGATGCGGATGGTCTCATTCGATCGGGTGGGTCGGGAAGTTTGTTCCTCCTTCAACTTTAGTACCGAGAATGCGTTGGACGAAGGAACAGCGCGCGTTTGCCGTAGAGGCTTACTTTTCTAACGGTCGCTCGATCGTCTCCACGCAGCGAGGATTCCGCGCGCACTTCAATATTTCCGCCCGAGCTCGTGTTCCTGGTCGGCAATCGATTGTTACGTGGGCAAACACATTCAGGAGAACTGGTAGTGTGGAAAAGAGAAGATCAGGAGAACGGGCCGTCAGATCACCCCAAAATATCGAGCCGCTATGTGAAAATGATCGAAAATTGTTTTGCCAAGTCTTGACGAAATGGATGTTGGGGATGTGTGGTTTCACCAGGATGGAACCACGGCACACACGGCGCGAACTGCAATGCCTGTTTTGCGGGAACACCTCCCCGGGCGCCTGATTTCCTTGAGGGGCGAGCTTCAGAGGCCGGCACGCTCACCCGATATAGCCCCTTGTGACTATTTCTTATTGGGGTATCTGAAATCCCTCGTTACACCGATCGTCCAAGGACCCTTGCTCAACTGAAGGAGAATATTCGCCAAGCCATAGCCAACATACCCATCACTATGCTGGAAAGAGTCGACCGACACTTCAGAATTCAGGCAAATCAGTGTATCGCCAATGGGTAGCGCCACTTGTTGGATACAATTTTTAAGACAGAGTAAACGTAAATTTCCAATGTTGTAGAATCTGGAGAAAAATAATTACAACGATACCCAATAAAATCTTTTGTTTTTTTGACCCTTCAAATCAGCAAATTATGCTGCCGCACTCTATATATCTGGACTCCGCAACGATGAAAAACCAGTGTTATTGAAGGTAATAGGTGGAAGGTGATATTTTAGCAAGGATATCATAAAATCTCTTCTTAAATTTGAGTTAGGGGCTCTGTTTAGTTGTACATTATTGTAGGGAGCAGTATCAATGACAAGGGCAGAATTTTGGGGACGGTTAGGAATAAGTCGCTCCTTTAACCATTTTTCATAATTGGTGTAGTTCGTGTCACTGTGGTAGTCTCCTGTTTCTGGTGGGATTTGAAGCGGACATAGGCATTAGGGCTGAAACATTGCTCTCCCCCTGCATGGATAACAATGAGCCGTTGGCCTTTGGACACAGGAGAAAATAATCCCTGGATGGATCCATCACTCCATGCATACGGGATGGTGTGCGATGAATGACTGGGCGGCCCTCTTCCCTATATTCTTTAATTTGTCGCAAATACTGAAGACGGTCGGCTCTGATATTATAACGGTCCACCAGTATCTGCCGATTATTTTTTGTTTTCTTCCAGCGGAACCCCAATTTCAAAATACAAATAATTTTCTTTAATGTGGAGATGCATCCCTGAAAATCTAACTTTTTCTTCAACTTTTGTGAACTATTTTCAGGGTAGGTCTCCGTGTTTCGACTATGTAGAAGTCATTAATTGCTCTTCGCACCACCGACTCGATAAAGTCGTCCAAAGTGGCTAGTGGAGATTTCTTAGGTCTTTCTTTATGGGGTGTCGAAAAGGAAGTGGAAGCCCCGGATTCGATATTTTTTGTTTCTCTTACTATTCTTCTGACACTACTTTCCGATACACCTGTTGCCTTTGCTACTTCCACTCCTATGTTCTTCACTGTAATTGTTGGCCCAGCCTCTTTCATGTACATTACTAACAATTTCTCTTGATTGTGAATGCAGCACTTTTCTACTCAATTTACTTTGTGTAGGTGGCATGATAAAGGAGAGAGAACAATTGTACAAATATAAATAAACAAAAAAGAAAATCAACGAATAAAAATAAACAACAAAATAAAATATTAATGCAGTAAATAGAGAATAATACACTCAAATACGACTCCAAGAGTCAAAACTTTTTAACTTGACTGTACAAGGAAGAATGCATTTAACTGAACTTGATACGTCTGCTCACACTGAAAGCAAACGAATGACTAATCACAACACCCCTCAACTTTCACGAATGGACCTGCCCATCCACTGCGCAGCTTTTCCTGGGCTGTCACTTCTAAATACTCGGGCTGTACTCATCTCTGTTACGGACTGAGTCGACCCCAGGGCCATAATGCGGCTGAAAGTTATAGGTCCATTGAGAAATCCAGTGACCCCATCGGGAAGCGAACCCGCGAACTTGCGACTTGACTCGACCAACTACCAACTGGGTTGAACCCCAGAACCGGCCTGGACGATATGGAAAAGAGAAAATTCTTGACCCTACCGGGACTCGAATTCTGACCCTTCGGTTGTCCAGCCGTAGCCAGTCGCTATACCGAGTACGCTGTCACACAGAAGTAAACATTTTTTTTAATTCGCTTAGTGTGAGGTGGAGTCCAACTGGATCCAGTCGGCACGGCGGCCACTGATTGGCCTATTGTAGACTGCCCCGGGTGAATATGATGATGGAGAATTTGGTGGAATGAAGATTGGCAGGAGAAACCGAAGTACTCGGAGAAAACCCGCCCCAGCGCCACTTTGTCCACCATAAATCCCACTTGACCAGACCCGGTGGGAAGCCAGCGGCTAACCGCTTGAGCTATAGCGCGGCTCCGTTAGTAAACATACTTGTAATTCAGAAGACTCAGCGGAGCTATAAAACGCACAGCGTCCCGCAAATGCCGTAAGAAAACATTATGTAACCTTCATTGCGTAATCGTTGTACATGGAGAGTTCATATGGATCTCTCTTTGAAGACAGAAACAAAGCGAGGCGCTTGGGCAGACGAGAGGAGCATAAAGCAAGCGAGCTGGGTGTCACTAAGTGTATGCTGAAGGCGTAGATCCAGAATGCGAAAACAATCATTTCACAAACAACGGCACAGAAACTACAACAAGAATTTCTCGGAAGAACTAATAGCCTACTTTCCTTTAAAGCGACACGGGCCGAAAGTAAAACGACGCCTTAAATAATAATTTTTCTATTGTTGCTTGTATATTCATTGCCGCGGTAATTTTTTTACTGAGCCTTTGCTTAGCAAAAATAATGGGATAATCAGACACACAGACTGTTCGGAGGGATTCATAAAGTACGTCGTTGAGATTGGTTCCGCTGCCATGATATACATACGAAATTTCATACAAATTGGTTCAGGCATTCAGAATAGGGGAGAATATACAGGCACGCAGACAGCGTGGTGATCTAATAAACTTACTTCTAATTTTAGTTAGGCTAAAATTAAACTGTGTTCTAGTAATAAACGTATGTGTTAATTCAAGCTCCAATTCTGTTGAGTTCTGACGTCGTGCTTTCTTATAGGTGGGTACCAACGTATCAGATTAAAATAATGCCTTCAATTTTAGGATACCTCGAACATGGACGCAATATCTTCCTCGGAAATATTGGTAGACTCACGAGATTGTAAGATATCTTGTTTATTTATCTGTGGCTTGTTTAGCGACGATGTTCACATCTGAGCCTGCTCCAAAACATGTCCAATGAAGTGGTAAATTTGTTCCTGTACTTAATTAATTAGCACCCCATCATGAAGACATTTAGAGGAGTGGAGGTATAGCTCCACTTTTCTTGAACTCGGCACTAGATGGAGGTGAGGGGTCACCTTCACGCCCTGGTCGCTCTATCCCCAGGAAAAGAGCCACTAGTACCAATTGCACAGAAGGCTGTGTGGGCCCCAGAGCCGGTCTGGACTGTGTGGAGAAGAGAAAAAACTTGACTCTGCCAGGAATCTAACCCCGGTCGTTGAGCCCGTTGACAAGTAGTTTGGGTACTACTTCAAGTACTACACCAAGAAATTTCTGTATTGACTTAAGAAAACCATGAAAAGTTTCATTCAGGATAGGAGGTGTCTCGGCCGAGGTTCGAATAAGACACCTCCCGAATACAAATATGTGCAGTACAAGAGGGGTACCGGGGGTAACGCGGCCAGAACCTAATGCTGACCATTCACCTGCATCTAGTGTCGAGGTTAAGAATGATGGAGCTATACCTCCACATACGACTTCATGGCGTGGTGATTAATTAAGCACAAGGACATCTTTACTTTATTTCCGAATGATAGTCTCCCACTTACACTTAGATTTCCGAAGTGGTCTTCTGCTAATGGTGACTGGTTTCTTCTACAGCGCAACATGAGCTGTGGACTGACCTGGGTGGACAGAGCGCTACACGTGTCCTTCTACCGCCTGGGGGTCATCGTGGGTCGCCATCCTGGGTATTTCCTGATCGTGCCAGTCCTCTTGACGTTGCTGTGTATCACCGGCTTCCAGCAGATCAAATACGAGATGGACCCCGAGTACTTGTTCAGCCCCGTGAGGGGGGAGGGCAAGCAGGAGCGGGCAGTTGTTGAATCCTTCTTCAAGCCCAATTACACCAGCAGATTCAACGTGGGCCGCATCACCAGACCAGGTGAGAATCTCCTACACAGCCATGTCTCCGGAAAATTTGATTGATTCTGGGAAGAACTAATCGCCCTTTCGCTAAGACACGGACCGCATAGAAAACGAAAAGATTATGTGGGGAGACAAGCAGACGCACAGACAGCAAAGTGATTTTATAAGCCTCATAACAAAAATAAGGGTGGGTCTGCGGATACGCAGAGAGACAACAAGGTAATCCCACAAGCCTCATTTTGTTTTTTTGAAAATAAGGAACGTAGGCTAAAAACGCGCAAATCAAACTTGATTTTCCAATAAGAAATAAGGGAGATGCTAGGGTTTGGGAGAAACGCTCTCTCAGTACTCATTCAAATATCTTCTCCCTTCGATGTTTCACATGAAACCGTTCCAACCCTGTTCTGCGTGTTCTCTCTTTCTCTCGTCTTGTGGCTTCACAGGCCTTTGGGCTTTGGCCGCTTGTTTCAGTTTCTTAATCATATATTCACAGTCAGCAGGGCCCCTTGGACGGGGGATCAGTCCATCGCAAGGCCGCTACCTGCACACAGGACACCACAAACATAATAAACGCGCACATACAACCATGCCTCGAGTGGGATTCGAACCCATGATCCCAGTGTTCGAGCGGGCGAAGACGGTTCAAGTCTTAGATCGCACGGCCCCTGGGATCGGCGTTCTCCTCGTTACTGGTAATAATAAAGCCTGTCTCAAAAAATAAAGTAATTTTCAATGAAGAATTCTGCTGCCTGACGTGGCTCGCATGTGGCCGTGATGCTGTAAGTGGGTTGGG